TGCTTAGTTTTCAGCAATCTTCCCTAGAAAGAATTGATCGGGGCTCAAGAGAAGCTAGAAATTAGTGTTTCAAATTATCAAAAAGGACTTTCAGGTGCAAAGACAAACATTTATTTGAACTTCTGGTGATTTGTGCCTGGCTTGCCAAATCATATACATAAAAGCAATCTGTTTTGTTTGGATTTGGAAAGAAAGCGAAGAAAACAAGGAGCCGGGAAGCTATGTAGTCTGTGATTAATTCCATCTGATGCTAATTGGGCCCAGCCTAGTCTGATAGCTTTACTTCAGTGTGATGGCAGCAGCAGTTCATTCCTTTTCTCGTAGCCCTTTCCCACAGTGTCTCAATCCAGGCCCTTTATTTCCGCTGGCTTTTCTCCCAGGTTCCAGTCCTTGCTCTGTTTGTCTTTCAGATTGCACTACTGGTGTTATTTTTTTTCAGGCACTCCCCTTCCCAGATGGCTTTGACTAAACTCCTGTCAGTTTTAGTTTAAGTCATTCTAAAGCGTTACTTGGGAAATCCCATTTCCGTGGGGATGCTTGACTTCTTTGGAAGGATTGCTAAACTTGGAAAAGTTTTCAGGGAGTACTTTCACAAATCATTAAAACAAATCAATGCATTAATAGGGAAGCATTAAGTGTTGGTGTGTTTCTTAATTGGCCACATCCAGGTACCAGTATGGTGTAGTGGTTAAGTGTTAGATTAGGAATGGGGAGATCCAATTCATTCTCAGCCACAGAAACTGGGTGATTTGGGGTGAGTCATTCTTTCGACCCAACCTATCTCCTAAGGGAGGAGAAGGATACCTCCACTAGTGTACAGTACATTATGTACATTACACTGAGCTTCTGTACAAAAGATGGGGTGTAAAACCGATTAATATAGTTTCAGAGGGTTATATTGTACACATTGGCAAGTTTCGATCTCATCAAAAAATCTTGCCTACTTTGTTCAGCTTTCCTAAAATTCAGGACAGAACTTGCTCTCCTTTATCAGTTTGGTTGTGAAATACAATGAGACGGGAAAGAAGGGGAGATCACAGGAAGAGGTGAATCATTTTTACTTATCGTTGACCTATGGTTGTTTTCAAGGATGAAAATGGCTGTAGAAAATCGGCTGCAAACAGCTGGTTTTCAGCAGTAATTTTGGCCGTTTTGGTGTATTCGTAGGGGTTAAGAATAGAAATAGGAATAGTTGGGCTCCCAAGGTCCTCTCTCTACACTTTCCAGCCTTATTTTGGTGGAAGGAGGTCATGGGTTTTTTTTTATTTTAAATGGTACATTTGGCTGTTGAATATTAATATAATCTCTCTGGGTAAACTCAGATGACCAACCCCTGGTGCATTTAGAAGGCATGTTAGAAGGTAACACTCAGGATTCTTTTCATACTTACACTATTTTTATACAGCATAATTATAATTGTTTGGGAAGTGGAATGGTTTTAAAAAACTGGAAAGGAGCATTGCCTACAAATATTCATAAGCTACAAGGAACCATTTCAAATGCCTTAAGTATTGTGATATAATCTTTCATCAAGAAGCCCGTGTAGACTAGTATATGTGTTTTGTGTCTGGGTGTAGCCAAGCAGTCTATGGCAGAAGTACTAAGCAGCACATCATCCCTGAATTTCCCTGAATTCTTACCATGCCTTCTTTCCAGCCACTTTGGAGTTTTGTTCCAGCATCCTTGGAAGGTGAAAGTATTCCTTCACAGTGATGGAAACCACTATAACCTTTATAGTGGAAATAGGCAGTCATTATAGATATATAGAGAAGAAAATTTGTTTCACCACTCCTAACGTATATCGTTGCGTTCTACTTTATTGGATGCCCAGATGAATTTGCTCATCAGGCAGACTAGCTGATATGTTGGGAATTATGCTCTAAAAATATAAGGTCATGATGGGAAAGGTGCAGGGGTAGGATTCTACCAGTTCGGACTGGTTCTATAGAACTGGTTGTTACGATTCTGCCCAGTTTGGAGAACTGGCAAATCGTGCCCCTCCCCACCCAGTCAGTCACGCGCATTGCTGACTGCATTCTCCCCCGCCCGCCCCGTGTCACCCAGTCATTCCGTAAAGTATTTTTTTCCTCCTCCCGATGATCAGCTGTTCTGACAATCAGCTGTTCCAGGATCTTCCTCGCTGTCTTATTGCTTTGCCCAGGAGGCTTCCCCAAGGCCCAGGAGGCAAAAAAACAGAGCACGTGTGTGTGTGTGTGTGTGCTGTGCCCCCACCCCCACGCTCCATTTTGGCCTCCTGGCCCTCAGGAAAGCCTTCTGGGAGCAAAAACGGCTGCCCAGGAGGCTTCTCTCAGGCCCAGGAGGCAAAAAA